AACTTAGTGTATACCAAATTATGGAGGAATTTATTTTCTTAGGAAAAATCCAATTAAAATTATACATTTTACTCATTAAAATTAAATTAATAAAAATATTAATCTGTTACTATTTTTTTCAGAAAGAAACTGCTCCCACCAAATTGAGATTGTGGTTTGGAAAATCAAATTTGTTTGCGTCACCAGAGATGTGACTTTGATAAGAGGATATGTAAAAAACAACAAAGAAACCCATAAAATAATAATAATTTAATAAAATATAAAGAATAAACTATTACTTTTATTTTATTTTTTTCAATTTAAATTATTAATTTTTTAAATTAATATTTTGTTAACATATATTATCAATTTATAATGTATTGATCGTTCAAATATTAAATATTGTTATTTTAATGACATGATACGTTAGTAAAGGGTTTTAATTTGATAAGAGTTTATACAATATATTAATTTAACTCTTAAACTATGGATAAAACATCAACTTAACCATTAATTTTTAGATAAAATATAATTTAATCTTTAAATCCGATCCAAATTTCTATCGTAGATCACCGCTCACCATAATCTTCGGTCATCATTGATTGTCGATCATCGCTGACTAGCATCACCATTAATCTTCATCGTTGACAACTATTAGAGTTTAAAATTTCTAATTCACTCAATTTTTCATTGGAAAAATATCTAAAATTTTACAAATCTAACCCATAATTATTGACTTGTTTTAAAATCAAACCAAGATATCATCAAACTAATATGTGCTTCTTCAATGGAAATTGGTGCACTAAACTAGTATACTCGTGGATTTCAAGGGTATTCTTGTATAATTTTTCTTCCACACTCAAGTTGCATAGACTTGGGCCTAAGGTCATGTTAAATATTTGTAAGTAAAATAATAGGAGATCAACATGGAAATTAGAAACGTGTAAGAGAAAATATTTAATAGGTACCTTACTTATCCATGTGAGAAAATATAAATTTACAATAGTTAGTATTTCATCTAAACTTAAAAATGTAAATAAAAGTTAATCTCTTTTATTAATTTATTGTATTATCAAGCTAATGATATTTAATATTTCAATAATTAAAAGTTATAAACTAATAATGTAAATATTATATTTTTAAAATTAATAATAAAAAATGAAGAAAAATAAAATGAAAGTTAACATTTTAACAATTTACCCATTATAAATTAATAATAGGGTAAATTATATCAGAGACCACCCAACTATAGTTCCTTTTTATTTCGACTACCATTTTTGAATTATTGTCAATCAGACCACCAACTATTTAAATGCATTCAATTAGGCTACTAACCGTTAACAGTTATTGGAAATGAAGATGTGACAGTTAATAAAATTTGTATAATTTATATTTAATCCTTATTATTTACACAATCTATCAAATTGGTCATAATTTCAAATTAATTCAATATATTTAATCTTCTAATAATATGAAGACAATATTTAATCTTCTAATAATATGAAGACACATGTGGGCTTTTTCAATTTAATTTAGTCGTGACACGTGGCACCACCTAAAGAAAGGAAAATAAATTGAATAGAAAAGCTTTAGAGGAGATTCGAGCTCAGGTATCTAAGGAGGCAAAATAACAAATTGAACAGCTGCACAAAGAACAATTTTTGGTACTTTGATTACAACAACTAATATTTACTTTAAAACATAACGAAGGCCAGAAAAAATGAAAACAAAATAATATATTTATACCGACCAGATTCAAATATATATATATATAAAGGGGTAAACTAATAATTTATAGTGCATTGGGTCTGAGATTTCTTACCTTAAACCTAAAATAATTCGAATATATATATATATATATTGGTAAATTAATATTTTATACTGGGTTGGGTCGGCTAGGTGATTTTTTACCCGATCAAATTGGGTTTAAGGTAAAAATATATTATTTTTATACTTTTAAATTATAATAAATAATTATAAATATATTATTTTAACTATTTTAAAATATTATTATATTCGTATTGGGTCGGGCGGGGCGGATTTAATGTAAGAAATCCCAAACCCAACCCAGTAAATATTAATATATAATATATGCAGTGTATATGAACTTGGAATGTGTGTTTGGTTTAATGGTTAAACACTTGTTCAAGCTTCCAAAGCGACCTAGGTTCGATCTCCTGCTTCCTTAATTTTTGTTGCCTTTAATTTTCTTTCAAATCAAATAATAACACGTGACATGATTTTATTCGAAGATTAAACTTATTTTAATTTATTAAAATTAGGACCAAATTGATATAATATATAAGTAACAGTGACCAAATGTGTAATTATGTCAATTTTATTAATTGTCACATCAACACTTCAGTTAACTATTAACGGCTAGTGGTTAGATTGAATGTATTTAAATAGCTGATTGGTTTGATTGACAAGAATTCAAAAATGGTGGTCAAAATGAAAAGTAGATATAGTTGTATGGACTTTGGTATTGTTTACCCTTAATAATAAAACTGGAACTGAGGATTTTAGAGACTGCCAAGATGCCAAAGGAGTGGAGAGAGTCTACGATGATTCTAATCTATAAGAATAAAGGAGATCCCCAACGTTGTGGTAACTACAGAGGTATTAAACTACTCAGTCATACCATGAAGTTATAGGAAAGAGTGATAGAGGCTAGATTGAGACATGTTACTAGGGTTTCGGAAAACCAATTTGGCTTTATGCCAGGCAGGTCTACTACGGAGGCGATTCATCTACTTCGACGGCTTATTGAGAAATATAGGGAAAAAATAGAGATCTTCACATGACGTTCATTCACCTTGAGAAAACGTATGATAGCGTACCTCGCGATACGATCTGGAAGACCTTGGAAACGAGACGAATCCCAACTGTTTATATTCGAGCGATTCGTGATATGTACTGTAGATCTAATACATACGTTAGGACTACAGTTGGCGACACCGAGGCATTCCCGGTGGAAATCAGACTCCACCAGGGGTCGGCTTTTAGCCCTTACATCTTCGCCTTGATTATGGACGACATCTATTGGGCGACACCAGATGGTGTTCCATGGTGTATGCTTTTCACTGACGACATTGTCCTACTTGCTGAAACAAAAAATGAGTTGAATAGTAGACTGGCTACCTGAAAGACTGCTTTGGAAGAAAAAGGTCTAAGGACCAATATTGAAAAGACATAATATTTATGTTCAAACTAAAGTGGGAACCAAAACGATGAAGATGTAGAAGTATGCATCGAAGGTCACGTTCTCCCCTCAAAGGATTGTTTCAAGTACCTATGGTCTATGATACATAAAGATGGGGGTGTAGATGATGACGTTTCACACCGTATAAAGGCGGGATGGCTAAAGTGGAGGGCTGCTACTGGAGTCTTGTGTGTCAAGAAGGTGCCTCTAAAACTTAAGGGAAAATTTTATAGAACGGCAATAAGACCAGCGCTGCTGTATGGATCAGAATGTTGGGCAATCAAGAAAGATCACGTATGGAGGATGGAGGCCGCAGAAATGAGAATGCTTCGATGGACATGTGGTAGGACTCTGTGGGACATGACACAAAACTCTGCAATTAGGATGTCCTTGGGGGTGGTGCTTGTATCCGAAAAATTGAGGGATGAAAGACTACGGTGGTTTGGGCATGTCCTTAGGCGTCAACCATCGGATGCGGTCAGGATGGTAGAGTCGATTACAGTCGACGGTGCCAAAAGGAGAGGACGACGAAGGAGAAAGTGGGAAGACTGCTTGAGATATGATTTGAAGGAATTAACCCTTACCAAGGACATGACCTCTGATAGGAAAGTATGGAGACTTAAGACCAGGGTAGCCGAGTAGTGTGGGTCACAACCATAGGGTGTAGCATCCCTGTCTTCTTTTTAATTGCCTTTGTAGTAATTTCCATTAACCTCTACTTTTTATACGTTTCTGTCATTGGAGTTTATGAAGGCTTAGAACTAGGATAGTGGACTAGTGTTGCCTTAGTCTAGGTTTTAACCCATTTGACTTTATTCATTCTCGTAGATTGCTATCGATGACTTCTGTGTATCATTCTCTGCATATGAAGACTGTTAAACTATGTATTTATTTATTTATACATGCACTGTATTTTATATTTATTTTTAATTTTCTGACTGCAGAAGGTCTTACACGGAAGCTGCTCTTAACCTGGCGTTGGGGGCAGCCTACTACCCTACCTCCCCCTTATCCCATTGCATATGGGAATAGGATTTTGTTGTTGTATTTGGAAATTAAGTGACAAGGGGCTCCGTCTATGCCATTGGCTCTCTCATTGTAGCTTCGAAGTTCGGGCAATGCAGTTGCCTCCTTCCTTCTCCCATGCCTTCTTATTATTTAATCAGTTTTTTTTGTTATTTTCGTTATATATATATATATATATATATATATAATTTAAGGTGAATATAAGTAGTAATATTTGTTTTAGAGAATTTTAATTATTTAACGACGAATATTTAAATACTATGTAATTGTTGGTGTTTAAATCGAGTATCTCTAAAATAACAACAATCTCTTTAACCAATGAATTAATTTAGTTGGTGCTTTATTGTTGTTTTTCTAACTTCGTTTTCTTTTTGATGAATTGATATTCATAATCAGTGCGATCAAATGGAAAACTAATTTGTTATATATGTCAACGTACCAAAATAGTTATTGTGGAATGAAGTGTTATTATGTTATATTAAACTCTAAATTCCGATGCAATAATATTTTAAGTTGTTTCTCACTAAATGTTAAGAGTGTATTGCTACTTATCAAACATTTTTAACCCAATTTATAATAAGTCAATCAATGTTGATGTATCTATTTTAAGAAATTAATTGTACTAAATACTTTTAAGTTATGTTATGATTTTAAATTAAGATATAAATTTAAAATATTTTAATTAAATTAATAAAATATCACATTTTCATTAATTAAATATTTATGTTAAGTTTAGTAAATTATTCAAAATCAACATTAAATCAGTGAACATACAGATACATACAGATATAAGATGTCTTAATCCCCAGCATAACTCGGTTCCACACCTACTCCGTCGGCCCAGACAGATGCTCCTTATTAGCCCAACGTATCGACGCCCCCAGCGACGTCGTTTGGTCTGTAGTCCGCCGTTTCGACAAAACCCAAACCTACAAACACTTCGTCAAGAGCTGCGCCGTCAAAGACGGCTCCAAAATGGTGGTGGCCTGCACGCGTGACGTCAACGTGATCTCCAGCTTGCCCGCTGCCACCAGCACCGAGAGGCTTGATATTTTGGACGACGATTTCAAGGTAAACGCTTTTAGTATTATGGGGGGAGCATCGGTTGACCGGTCGGCGACGATGGTGCATGGCATCGAACGCGACGAGAAGATCTGGACCGTGGTTTTGGAATCGTGCGTCGTTGATGTCCCTGAAGGGAATACGGAGGAAGACACACGGTTGTTCGCGGATACAGTTGTGAAGCTCAACTTGCAAAAGCTGGCGTCTGTCTCCGAAGAGTTGGCGGCGCGTGATGGCGACTGTAATAAATAACAGAAAAGAAAAAAAAGTGTCCCTTTCTTATTTCGTTTAATCTCTTTTCCATATATTTCTTGTCTTTGAATTATGTTTTTTTTCTTTCTAGTTTTAATGGATTTTTAATGAAATTACGGGAAAGTCTTGTGTGAAACTGTGGTAAGAATCAATAATGTTTTCAGATGATTTTTTATATAAAATTCTAGTAAAAAAGGTTTAAACAAATAAATGTTATTAAAGTGGGAATTAATTTGAGAGCATTTTGTTTTGTATTTTTAATCAAATAATTACCCTTGAATAAGGCAATTGGTGTCTTAACATGAGTCAGCTCCCTCTAATATATCATCGTATCTTTCGGTACTATTCACAATGTGTGCTCATAACTACTTATGACATTTCCGGGTTCTCTCATTTGAGAAATTATTTCATTACTTGATTCACCACATTATTTATGATCCTATGATCATTATTTTATAGATTCAGTTTACTACGTTATTTATGGTACTATGATCATCTATGATCCCAATGAATGATAATCACAAATTTTAAAATAATTTTAATATAACAACCCACTTTTTATTTACATGTAGAAAAGAGGTGATTCATATTAAAAATAATAATGTAGACAAATGTTATTGGTTGGGACCACGGATGACGTGATGAGCCAAGATCATCTAACAATTTTTCCTCTTATTCAGGCTAAATGTTGAATCTATTAAGTGATATTAGTGATGAGAGATGATATTATTCTTTTTAGAAGTTCTTCCCATATCCCTTGTGCTATCTATGAACAATGTAACACCATTACAAGTTCAAACCATTACACTTCGATCAGAGCGTACATAATATATGACTCTACTTACATGCCAACACATATAAAATATAAACCAACATACTATGTAAGATGCTTCTGATCTGATCTTTAAATGAGGATATGCTGCTCTATTGCTCCTAAGACCGGTCTTCTTGCTTTTCTGAACCTACGTGTAAATCACTGACACGCTAAGTCATAGACTTAGTGCATAAATATATAATAATGCATTTCCTATGGATATGAATATGAGACATGTTATTCATCTAAAATCATCACTATCATTCACAATTTCATTTCATTCATATGATTCACTGTGAACAATATTAGTATGATAACCTATAATGCAATAAACACATTTTTCCATATTATTTTTAGGCCCATGTATATACTGAGAACTTAAGGTATTTGAGTACATAGAGGTTGTGCGCATCTGCTGTCACCACAACTCGTATAATTCCCACTGAGTGGCATATGAAATTGTCCCGAATGACCTGTGAGTATGTCCCGAAGGACCTATGAGTTGTCCTAAGGACCTATGAAACCCTCGACTCTTGGCATGCCAACTATACTTATAGCTCTCACATTACATCACATGGGCATTAATATTATATTTCATATAACTATGTACTTGTATCATTTCCCTTGTAATCACATATATCATTTATTCTATCACATTTACCATGTGCATATCACCATTAATCTCATATCATATAACATAAGTATTTGAGTATATTCACATGAATCATGTATCGAATCATATGTCAACATATATGACTTATGCATGTTTAATAAAGACTATAATGTATGCATGTTCATAGCTACCATACTATGAAATTAATCTAAGAAATAGACTTATCACAAGTCTTAATTTCTTTGAACTACATCTCTAATATGCACTCACCTATATTCATTTGTTTTTCCCCCGATCGATCTTACAAGGCAATTGTTCCGAAACTTAATTAAGCTATGTATCTACATAAATAAAATTTTCAAAATGATTATCAGATTCCTAAACCTTGTAACTTGCTTCTAATAACTTAAACAAATTTAAGGAATCATTATTCTATTTTTCCTTTAGGAGGGTATCGATACCCTACTTAAGGTATCGGTACCCTCATGGCATTCTGTGATTTTTTGTTCAAGGGGGGTATCGTACCCAGTTGGGGGGTATCGATACCCTCAATACATAATGTGATTCTTTCATTTGAGAGGGTATCGGTACCTGTTGAATAGGTACCGATACCCCTAGCCCAGAAATGTCATTTTAAGCACGAAAAATCACTCTCTTCTCAGCTCAACTCTTCATATTTCACCTCCTTTAATTTACCTAACATACATATACTTACACTCATTCCTACTCAATAATCACTTTCTTAAACTCAAAATCCTATTCTTTATATGACATTCAAGAATCACACTTAATTTCCAACATGTTCTAATTCCCATTCTAACACTTCCTATTCCTTAATTCCATTAATGACAAGTCAAATTTAAGCTTGGAATCTACTTAATACTTTCTTATCAAGATTTCACTTTTCCACTTCCTTTCTTTAATCCTTCCTATTCTCCTCATCTTGTTGTTTTAGAACAAATTAAGTTTTCCTTAAGCTTAATTATCACTTAATAATCAAAACACAACTTGAATTTCAACTAATAATCAATTAATAATGAAACTTACCTTTACTTTGGGGTCTTCACGTTTGAAGAGAAGATAAGAAGAAGATATCTCTAGAAGCTTAGATTTTTAGCTTCTTTGCCTTCCACGTGGGTTAATATAACCATAGCCCAAATTAAATTATTTTCTTCAAAAAAGACTATCTTGTCCTTCAATTTCTTCTTCTTTACACTTCAATCCTACACAATATTTCTCATATAACTCATTAAACTATTCAATTATTCTACTTTAATCACCAAATTCTGAAACTTTATAATTTAATCACTAACGCGATATTGAGGATGTTACAAATCTTCCCCTTAAGAAAATTCGTCTTTGAATTTTCAATGGGCAAAAAGATATGGGTACTGATTTCTCATATCCTCTTCACGTTCCCACGTTGCTTTCTCAACCTTGTGATTCATCCATAAGACTTTAACCAATGGAATATTCTTGTTCCTCAATTGCCTAACCTCATAAGCTAAAATTTGAACCGGTTCTTCCTCTTAAGTCAAATCCGGTTGCACCTCGATCTCTTCTGATGTTACGATATGGGAGGGATCCGATCTATACTTCCGAATCATTGAGACATGGAAAACATTATGAATCTTTTCCATTTCTGGTGGCAAGGCTAATTGGTATGCCTCTGGTCCTACTTTTTTTATAATTTCATATGGTCCAATAAACCGAGGACTCAATTTTCCTTTCCGACCAAACCTTAACACCTTCTTCCATGGAGACACCTTTAAAAATACTTTATCACCAACTTGAAATTCAATTTCTTTCCTTTTCAAATCTGCATATGATTTATGTCTATCTGCGGCAGCTTTGAGATTATTCTGGATTACAAGAAATTTTTCTTCCACCTCCTAAATTAATTCAGGACCAAGAACTTCTCGATCCTTAAGCTCATACCAGTTCAAAGGCGTACGACACTTTCTTCCATATAAAGCCTCATAGGAAGCCATTTTGACACTCGACTAATAGCTATTGTTGTAAGAAAATTCCGCAAGTGGCAAATATTTTTCCCAAGATCCTTTAAATTCAATCACACAAGCTCTTAACATGTCCTCTAGGATTTGAATAGTTCGTTCAGATTGTCCATCGGTCTGAGGATGAAACATTGTGCTAAAATTCAATCGAGTTCCCAATGCTCCATGTAATGACTTCCAAAATCTCGAAGTAAATCGAGGATCTCGATCAGAAACAATGGAAACAGGTACACCACAGATTGAATCTCTTTTGTTCGGAGTCATAGGTAACCCCGTCACAAAGTCCATCGTTACATTCTCCTATTTACATTGAGGAATCGACATGGGTTGCAATAATCCTGACGAAACTTGATGCTCAGCTTTGACTTGTTGACAAGTCAAACACTTGAATAAGAATTCTGTAATATATCTCTTCATTCCAGGCCACCAATAGCGACTCTTAAGATCCATATACATTTTATTTCCTCCTGAGTGCATAGTCAATGGACTACAATGAGCTTTTGTTAACAACTCATTTATCAACTCCTTATCATCTAGAATTACTAGTCTCCCTCAATAGTATAAATTCCCATCAACCTTAACCTCATAATCTGTAAGCTCTCCATTCTTGACTTGTTGCAACTTCTTTGAACACTTTTCATATTCAGCGTGCAATTCTTTAATTCTACTTATCCATAATGGCTGAAGGGTTAATTCCGCACATAAAGCACCATCATCATTCAATGACAACATAGCATCCAAGGCTCGTAAGGTTGTAAACGTCTTTTGGCTTAAAGCATCCGCTACCACATTTGCTTTTCCAGGATGGAAATCTATCACAACATCATAATCTTTCAAAAATTATATCCACCTCCTTTGCCTTAAATTTAACTCCTTCTAGGTCATCAGATATTTCAGACTCTTATGATCTGTATATAAATAACATCGTTCACCATACAAGTAGTGGCGCCAGATCTTCAGGGTGAATATCACTGCAGCCATCTCCAGATCATGTGTAGGATAATTCTTCTTGTGTGGTTTTAATTGCCTCGACCCATACGCTACCACTTTACCCTCTTGCATTAGTAAACATCCCAAGCCATTATGGGATGTGTCACTATAGACCACATAGTTTTTACCAGACTCCGGTTGAACTAATACTGGAGCTTCTGTCAAAATATTTTTCAGCATATCAAAACTTTCTTAATATTCAGGGGTCCCACAGAAACGTTACACCTTTTCTCATCAACTTGGTCAATGGTAGAGCGATCATCAAAAAGTTCTTAACGAACATTCGATAATAACTGAAAAGTCCTAGGAAACTGTGAACTTCAGATACATTCTTGGGAACCTCCCATTCAAGGATATCTTTTACTTTCTGAGGATCCACTCGAATTCCTTCCGCAGAAATCACATGTCCGAGAAATATAACTTCATTTAACCAGAACTCACATTTGGATAGCTTGGCATATAACTTCTTGTCTCGAAGAGTTTGCAAGACTATCTTTAAATGTGCATTATGCTCTTCATTTTTTCTTTGAATACACCAATATGTCATCGATAAACACCACTACAAATT